GCTAAAAATGAATGATAATCCACACAAGTTATTTCCACCAAGAAACAGGAAAGAAAAAAGGGATGAAACAGCCAGTTGTCCAAACGGCCATGGGTCCCTGGAAGAGGATGGAATGCACGCTGGGAACTCAGGGCTGGTTTGTTCACAGCCCTCTGGCCATAGCTGTTAAGTTCTTGGAGCAATCATTGCACAGTTAGTGACGTCACTTTTCATGAACTATTTTGCTCGTGCTTTAAAATTTTTGATGAACCTGTACCAAAAGTCTCAGTGTACTTTCAGTCTTTAATAACCTTTGAAGTGTAAATACTACAGAAAGAGTAGTTACTAAAATTTTAATAGATTAATTATTTTTGGTGATACTGAGGTTTGAACTCAAGTTTGAACTCAGGCTTGCCAGTTTAAGACTATACCAATTGAGCCATACCCTCAGTCCTTTTTGTTTTTATTTTTCAGATAGGGTCTCATGCTTTTTGCCTGGGTCTGGCCTCAAACTGTGATCCTCCCACCTCTGCCCCCCCCAGGATGGTATTACAGGTGTGTACCACCACACCCAGCTTGTTTTACTTTTTTTTTTGTTTTTCAGATAGGGTCTCACACTTTTGCCCAGGCCAGCCTCCAACCATGATCCTTCTACCTCCATCTCCCAAATAGCTGGGGATTACAGGCATGTGCCACATGCTCAGTCTATATATTGATTTTTTTAATTAAAATATAATACATCCACTATTTTGTGCTACACACCACACTAGTCATTTTTCAAATTTGCTCAGCATCTCCTGGATCTAGGGCTGTCAGTTGCCTGAATGTTTTTCGTCCAGCCATGAATTAAATTTCTGTGGCAAGCCTCCCTTATAAGAAAAGACACATTTCCTTCTTCCTGTTCCCTGGACTAACCAGAGAATAGGTGCCATTTTTTAAAACATTTGCCATCTTCAATCAGAGGGACTGAAACAAAACTGTAAATCTTTTTTTTCAAAACTAGGGCTGACAGAGTGGCTCACAGAGTAAGAGCACCTGCCTAGCAAGCGTGAGGCCCTGAGTTCAAACCCCAGTGCTGCCAAAAAACAAAATAAAACAACAAAGAATCACAAAACTAAATATAAACTTAAATAATTAAACTTTCAAATGAATTAAGATTTCAGAGACACTTTTATAATGTCAACAATAGTAAATAAAACACCACTTTGTTTTATCTTTTCTTTTGTCCCAACTTTCGTGCCTCTCATACTCTCCTGGACCTGACCAGAGCCTCCCTTCACCCGCCCTTGGGGCACCTGCCTTTCTCGGAGCCTGTCAACCTGCGCCCTCTGCTGGCAAAACTCCTAGAGCAGTTCTTCCTACCTTCCGTGGGTGCTGTTGCCTGGGGAGCTGATGATGAAGTTGCCTAGCAACAGAAGCTTGTGCTACCCCAGCACCTGTCTACTTTCTAAGCTATCCAGCAGCTCCACTCCACTGTTCCAGATGAGCCAGCTAGGATCTGCATTCTGATCCAATAGTTCAAAGCATGAATGAGGATGCATTTTCCATACTAGAATAGCAAAAGTCCAGGTTATTGGATGTAAAATTTAAAAGTTGAGGGCTGGGGGATGTAGCTCAGTAGTAGAATGCTTGCAAACCATGCAGGGAGCCCCAGGTTTTATCCCCAACACTGAAAAAAATTTTAAATTACCTTGAAATCATACCTAACAATTGACTAAGATTGGCCTTGCATGTTATACGAAATGTTTCATCACTGAGTAAAGTGGCACTTGTAGGTTTTAGAACATTGTGCCTGTCATTAGAGCAGTGTGCAGGGGCACACACGGTAGGGAGTGTTGTACAGAGGTTGCAGCCAGGCAGTTACCCTTCTAACTCACCCCCTCAGCCCTTAAATTTATGGTAACAATAGTACTTATCTTTTAGGATTACTGAAAATACTAAAAATGTTTCCAAGGGTGAAATTTAGCCCAGTGCCAGCCATCACTCCACAATCAGAAGCAATTTTACACTGCCTGTGTTGTCATTATATTACTGACACACTAACTTTCTGGATATAGAGTGATGTTTCATCACCTCTCTTTAGCTAATCCTTCTGAAATTCCAAATATAAATTATCTATAATCTTAATTTCTAAATTGGAATGTGAGACTCTTCTGTTGTATTTTTAGAGTAGCTCAGTAGCAGGCTATCTGAAATGTATGGTTTCTGGGTTCTAACCTACTTCTCCCTTCACAAGTTTTCATGGAATTTGTTTTATTCCCTTCTCTTCTAATAATTTATAGAAATCTCAGCATTTAAAAAATCAACAATACCTATTAGCATAGCACACTACACTGTCTTTTGTGCTTTTTTTTTTTCTCACTTTCTGCCCTTTTAGCCAGGTACCTGCCAGGTTGCTACTGCCATGTGTGAATATGTGTGTGAGCATATTCACAAGGTGTGGTAACTGTGCTAAACAGTCCCCTTCCAAAAAAGTGAACATGACCATGAGGGAGGCAGTGTGGCCCAGCTGGAGGCAAGGAGGGTAACTAGGAGTTGGCTAAGAGAAGAAGGAGCCACAGGTATTGCCAAGAAAGGAGCAACCATGCACCTGAACTAGCCTAGTCAGGGAAGGAGGTGGGGGTTTGCGGGAGAAGGGAGAGCTGAAGCAGGAGAGTCAGGAAGGACCATGCCAGGGGTTTGTAGATGGTGGGGACAGGGGTGTGGTTGGGTTTGCATCATCATGGTGGCAACATTGTGCAGGGCACACTGGAATAAGTGAGTCAAGAGGCAGTGGGAGCAGTCAGTATTCTCCTGCTGAAATCCAGCTTAGACTTGGTGATCTAAGATGGCAGTAGCACTCAAGTGGAAAGGACAGGGATGCATTTAGGAAACAGATCCAACAGGGAGTCCTGAGTGATTTCTATGGTTCTAGTTTGGAAAACCAGGGACCCTTATTCCAGAAAGAGGACAGGGGGCGGGGGGTGGGGGGGGCGTAGGCGATGGTGGGGGGTGGCATGGGGGCATTGTGCATGTGTTTGGGACAGAGGTGGACAGGGCTGGTGAGCTGGGCTAGAGATCTGATGTGGCTGTCTTCAGAAGTGAGTTCAGAGATGGAAATGCAGTGAAGTTACCAGTGAACAAGAGGCAGAAAAGGCAGGCAGACTTGGAAGCCCTTTTTAAATTTTAGTGGATAGGAGAGAAACTGATGGGACTAACTAGAGGCACGAAGTTGAGGGTTTTGTTGGTTTTCAATGGGACCCAGTAGAATGTATTTGCTTAAGGTGAGCAAGCCGGTAAGAAAACAGAGGTTGAGGAATGAAGGGAGCCCCTGATGAGGCAAAGGAGGGAGAGTCAGACAGAAGGAATACCACCAGCCCCGACAAGACAGAGGCAGGGGCTGCGGTGGTGGTAGAGAAGCCCAATGTGGCCTTTGCTCACAGGCCAAGGCGAGGTCGTGCAGAAGCCAGAGAAGATGTGGGTTTGGAGGAAGAGGTGGGTTGGGGGATTGAAGACCACTCAGCAAAGGGTTGTAGGACTTGGGCCCTGCAGTGGCCAACTCGAAACCGTCCCCTTCTTAACAGTCTTTGGAAAGAATGATCTTCAGGGCTCAGTGCTGGTGTCCACCACTTGGGCCCAAGCACTACTTCTGCACTTGACCCACGGCGGGTCCACAAAGCAGCCTGCAGTCTGGCCGTGGCCTTCAGTCACATGCAGGACAACAGGTGCCAGTCTCCTGTCCTCATCCGTTCCTCTGCCACAAGGCCAAGTTCAAAGCCATAGTATCTTCTAGAAAAGTAGTAGATCCGTTCGGGAAAACGGCAAAGCAGAGACGGGGGCTGGAAGTAAAGACAGGCGGCGTGGGTGAGCTGGAATAGTCTAGAAAGCGAACGGAACAAAGGCGGTGTGACTGGTGCGCCCCTGGTGATGCTCCTCCCTGATAGAATATGCATGATCCCGCGCGCGTCCCGTCGCCCGCCGGGGAGCAGCGAGGCGTCGGAGCGCAGGCGGGGAGCGCGGGCGCTCTCGGCGCTGGGAGCAACAGAACCACGCGGCCGCGGCCTGCGTGTGAGTGCCCCTGCACTTCCCCCGCCGCGCCGGTGGCGCCCCTCGGGGACCCCTCAGGGTTATACGGCCCCGCTGCCCCTGAGCCAGCTCCTCTTCCCTTTCCTCTTCTCGAGGAACCTGGATTTCGGAGGGGGCGCGCGTCCGACGGCGAAGGCCAAGCGAGGCTCGAGTTGACCTAGCAGGTGGCCATCGCCGCCCTGCGGGGACCCGGTGGCATACTCCGGCCCTTCGCACCGCGCTTGGCCACTACACCGGTGGGGACCCGACCCAGGCCGAGCGAGCCGCCCCCTTGGGATCCCTGCTGGGCGGTGCTGAGCGGGGCGTGGAGACGCGGGGCGAGCTGAGAGCGCAGCGCCACCCCGACTGTCCCCAGCAGAGCCCGGCACTCTCAGTCCCGGTCCCCGTAGTTGTACGGTGTTTACCAGGCAGATTTAAAACATCGTTTCCTTTAAAAGAAAAAAAAGGTGCGCCTTCCTTCCGCCCCTCTTCGTCGCGAGTTCGCGGAGGGAAGAGGGAGGGAGAAGGTAGCCGGCGCGATCGGTGATCTGCACGCACCGAGATACCGGAGCATCTTGTTCAGCAGCCGGGATAGGACAGAAGTCTCCCCGGATCTTCCCTCCCTGCCTCACCTCCGTGCGCCTTGCGACCTGCCTGACCTCCATCCGAGCAGGCAGGCATGGGGTGTTTGGGCAACAGCAAGACGACAGAAGACCAGGGCGTCGATGAAAAAGAACGGCGCGAGGCCAACAAAAAGATCGAGAAGCAGTTGCAGAAAGAGCGCCTGGCTTACAAGCACCCACCGCCTGCTGCTACTGGGTAAGGCCGGAAGGCGCGGCCGCCCCGGTTCCCCGCGCCCGGAGCTAAGGCCCCGAGCGGGGCCGGGAGTGCCTGCAGCCAGCCCGTCCCCGCGCGGGTGCAGGATGCCCATCCCGGGTGACCTGAGGGTTGACAGCGTGCTTTCTGTTTGTTCGCAGGGGCTGGAGAGTCTGGGAAAAGCACTATCGTCAAACAAATGAGAATCCTGCACGTCAATGGATTTAATCCCGAGTAAGAATCCGCTTTGGCTTGCAAACTGCATGCAAACTTCACTTCCCTCCCAGACTTTCCAGAAGTGCTTTCTCTAAACAGTTGCTTTGTTACCTGTGGAGACTTTCAAGGGAAAAGACGATTCTTGCTTCACAAAACGATTAAGTAATCTTGGAGTATTGGTCTGTAGTACTGTTATTGCTCTGAGCACTCGACCAGTACTTTCATCCCCCATCCGTCAATATCTGAGGGGAATCGGTCCCGGACATCTGCGCCCCCTCCCCAAGACCAAAATCCAGGGATGCTCAAATCTGTTACGTATTTGCATAGAACCTAGGCACATCCTTTAACTTACTTTAAATCACCTCTAGATGACTTATAGTACTTAATACAATGTAATTGGTACATAAATTGTTATGCTGCATCATATAGGAAGTAATGACAAGGAAAAAAGGCTATACGTGCTCAGTACAGGTGCAGTTTTTCCCAAATATTTTCACTCAGTATCCAGTTGGTTGAATCCACCAATGTGGAAACGCTGATAAAGAGGGCTAATGCTGTCACAGTGTGTGCTTTCTCTGTGGTATCACTGGCTTACATCTGTTTCAGTTTATGACTCTCAACATAGAGATAGGTTTCTAGCCAGCACAAGACTCTGAGTTTAGACCCCGGTACCATCAAAATCAAACATAAAATACAGCTAGATTTAAGTAGAAGTATTTAGTCATATTTATATGCAATATCCATAACAATTTTGCAATTCTTTTGTGTGACCTGCACAGTTGTCTAAAGCTACAGGTTATAAAATGGGTACACTGAAGTTTGTTTAGAACACAAATCAGAAGCAAGGATTTTTTTAGGTAAACCTTTGCAGATGTTGTCTGGGGGGATAGCTACTGAAATCTAGTGAAACCAGCCTACCTACCCTGGAAAATCTTACTCTATCCATCCTAACTGGTGAAGAGCAAATTAAATTAATACCAACTCTCTCTTTCAACACAGGGAAAAGAAACAGAAAATTCTGGACATCAGGAAGAATGTCAAAGATGCTATTGTGGTAAGGACGTTTTTCTTGACATTTGTTTAGCAGAATAGTTAACTGCCCTGGTTTGAAACTGTGTAGGCAGAAGTCCTATACATAAGACTACCACACGTGAACCCGATGAGTTACAGTTCTCCCTATTTTCCCTTCGTTCTGTTTAGACGATTGTCTCAGCGATGAGTACTATAATACCTCCGGTTCCACTGGCCAACCCAGAAAACCAGTTCCGGTCAGACTACATCAAGAGCATAGCCCCTATCACCGATTTTGAATATTCCCAGGTAAGTAAATTCTTGCTGAAAATTTTTAAATAGTCAAAGATGGAGCCATGTTTGGTGAGGTTGCTTCTTAGGAATTAACATCAATGCTAATGCATCATTAACTTTCTTCAAAATCTAGCTCTATATTTGCTTCCCGTACGTGAAAATATTTGTGTTTATTAAAAATATTAAGGACAGTAGGATTGTAAGAAGTGCGTTTATGAATGCGTGGTACCTGACAATCAGGAAGAACCACACCTTTCAGAAAAGTTGCTAGTGCTTTTCTTGTGTGTGTTTTTTAATGGACAATTGAGCAATGACTCAGACAACAAAAGTGAAATTACATGACAGAGAGGAGAACTTAGGGTGTGAGAGCGCCTCCATGGCAGTAACAGAAAGAAGAATTCTGTTTGTTCTCCAGGTGCACAGCTGTCAGATCACATAAGAGACTGTAAATAACATGGGCCACTTCGGAATGGCTGCTGTCTCCTGCTGACATGTAGTCCGTCATATCTGCCCCACTGAGGGCTGCTTTGCCTGTCACTACACTGCAGTACTGCTTGTACAGAAGGCCAATGTCAGTGCTAGTTGTCTCTTGTTTGGTGGATTTACATTTCTTTAAAATATTGTTTGGTCATTTGGTGAAGCAGGTTTAAGGGAAAACTGCTAAATTTCTCAGAAAGTCATTTTTGTTACATTTGCTCCAAAAAGGCATATTCATGTGTGTAAGCACAGCATGTGCCAGTACAGCTATCAGTAGCAGTATTTTAGAGTCTGTGGCCTAGCAGGGTGACTTAGAGACCTTAAAATCCTCAGCATCCTCTCTTCCAACAGTAGCTTATGCAGAAATCAGTGTGTAAGCAGACCTGCTCTGCTCTGGCTGCAGGGCCCCGGGGCACCTGCTCAGTCCCATCCTTCTCAGCACAGCTCAGTTGTCCTGTGGGCTTTGTATCAGTATGACAGATAATTACATTTTTTAAAAAATTTAGTTTGCTTTCTTTACTGTGATGCTTGTGCCTGGTAAACATCCTCCTGTAGCCAGTGCCACCCCTAGAATTTCTGGAAAGGAGTTAGGGATGGCACACTGGCTAGAAGAAGGGGTCAGCACCTGACATGGGGATGCACCAGCTCTACTAAATTGTGTTTTGGGTAACTGGGAAAGGGGTCAAGAGATGGTATGGCAGGCGAAGGGTAACCAGAGCCCTGCTTCAGCCACACTGAGGAGCCTCTTAGTACTAGCCAGATCTGTAGGGCATCCTCGCTGCTCTCTGGCATTTTAGTTAAGGGAAAAATCACCAAACTTCACTTTGTTGAAGTCAGGAGTGGCATTCCCATTCAACCTACAGTGCAGGCAAGTATGTGAGTTCTTGCATCTGTCCTATCATTTACTTAAAGTCATCATAAATATCTTATATATTCCTAAATATTTTCTTAGAAGAAAGCTATTCTTAGCATATGGTGAGAAATTACGATTAACATTTATCAATCAGTTGCACACCTTCCTTCTTCTGTTCATGATGCACAGATGGCAAAGCATCCTTTATTAAATCTAAAATTCAGAAAGTATCAGTAACTCGCCGATTATTTAAGGAATCCATCTAGTTTGTGAAAGTGGTTTTTAAGTTAATTCACATATTTTTAATAATAGAAAACTTGAGGAACCATTTCCTTTGAATTGCATGTATTTTCAACAAGGCTTACTAAGGTTACATAAAAGTGATTATCAAAAACCATAATTAATTATCCCTCAAACTCCAGAAGGATAGCACCTGCAGGTACATATGTAATAAAATGCAGTTTGGGAGGCAGTCTTTTTTTTAGAGGGTAGCTTTACTGTTTTATTTTTAACTTGTAATGTTCTGTTATCTTACACGTCTGTGCTCATGTCAAATGAGCGTGTTTTGTTTATAATAAATATAGACTTATATAAACAAGGAATTAATACTAAATATATGATATTTCTTCAAAAAAGCCATTTTTTTATTCCAATGTTCACTCAGTTTCAGAGCCACCTAACTCATGCTCCTTGGAAATATATTACTGGTATGATTAGATTATGTCATTCTTGGTGCACATTTTTGTGATCTCACTAAGAATGTTATCGAGACAAATCTCTGGTTTACATACTTAATAACAACTGGTACATTTGGAGACAACTGTTACTTAATGGAATATTATTTAATAAACATTATAAAAGTGGAGCTAAGTATTTGAATAGAACTATGACATTACTATATCTAGTACATTTTTGAGATTGAATCCTTGCCAAAGTCTGTTGCTGTCACAAGCCACAGCTTAAGTGTGTTTTGTTTTGTGTTGCAGTGCTGGGGATGGAACCCAGAACCTTCTCCCTGAGAGACAAGTGCTCTGCCACTGAGCTACCCACCCATCCCAGTAAAATAACTTCTCAACAAAATATATTCTGCCACTAAAAATTCATTTTAGGGGCTTGACGTGTCAGTGGTAGAGCTTGTGTTTAGCAAGCACAAGTCCTGGGTTTGATCCCCAATGTCAAAATAATAAATAACTTCTGAGTTCTTCAGGTTAAGAAGGAAAAATAAGAGGATAACTTGTTTAGAAGTATTTGCCATGGAGGTGGTGAACTTGTTCAAGGTACACTGTACGCACAGATGGAATTACCACAATGAAATCCCCCTGTATTCATGTATTCAAAAGTCAAATTAAATATTTTTTTAAAGAAATATTTTCCAAACTTTGGTAATACCGGGTGAATTTCCTTTTGTCCTTTTGCTCGTTGCCTTGCATTTCATTTGAATTGATATGAATTCTATAAAATTAAGTTGCAAGAGAACTAGCTGGCGCTTGTGAGCCAGAGTCACGATGGGGAAAGTGGAGACGCGGCCAGCTCTCGGGGGGCTGTGGTCAGCATGTGTTGTGTGCACCATGCTGGAGCTTTAGAGGGTGCTCAGCGGTGTCCCTACCAGATGGGGCTGGGGTTTAGAGATACCACAGCTGCGGGCAGAGGACAGATTGTGCGAGGCAAGAGTTGAAGCCAAGCAATCATCTTGGAGGTGATTGAATAATCCAGATGCAAGATATTGAGGTGGTGTGGTGGTGACAATGGGGACAGAGAAAAATGGCCTGGAGTGGGATTTATTCTGTAAATAGAGCCATTCAGACTGGTCGGTTTTTGGATGTGGGTATTTAGGGAAAAGGAGAGATCAAGAATGCCTTGGGATTCCAGCCTGCATTTCTACACAGATGATAGAAACCAGTTGGGAAGAGGAAGGTATGAGTTTTTGTTTTCCTGGTGAATTGGAGACACTATTTAGACATTCAAGTGCCAACATGGAGTGGATATGGGGTTAGGAGTGTGATAGGGAGAACTGGGGATCTTTAGCACAGAGATGGTCTGATGAGATGGGCCACTCAGGGAAATTCTGGAGCTAACCACGAGAAGAGGGCCAAGAATCGGGGATCCAGGGAAGGCAGAACAGTGTCAAGGAGGCCCTAAAAAGAACTACTCAAGACAGAAAGAGGTCAGCCATGTGCAGTGCTGAAGTCAAGGAAGTCAAAATGGACACTAGGTGACTTAACTTTGGGGGCTGAAAGCTCACCAGTGGCCATGACAGTGACTCGGCCAGTGTGTGATGAGGAGAGGATGTGGTGTGAGCTAGTGGAGCAACAAGAGCAGATTGGGCTTCTCCTGACCTTGGCAAGAAGGGAAGCTGAGGATGGGACAGGAGAAAGACAGGAATCCCAGCGCAGAGACCACACCTGAAGGCACATGGCCTGACTGTCTGGTAATGCAGGAGAAAGTGACAGTCAGGAGTTGGAGGCTATTGTCAGAGCTCAATCCCCGAGAAAGTAGATGGGGTAGGACCCAGAACACAGAGGAACCTCCCCACTGTTGAACAGGAGGAAGGGAGGGCAAAGAACAGGTGCACACATGGGTAAGTTTTCAGATTCGTGGCAAAAAAGTGAGGGAGTCTGCTTGCAGAGCCTTTTAAAACAAATTGTTAAGGCACATCAGCAAGTTCCATGAAAATGATTGTCTGCTTTGGGAATTTCCTCAAGTGACCCCACATTCATGGTTATGATGAGCAGCGCTAGGGGATAAAGTTCCACCAGAAGTGCAAAAGGGGTGTGAAGCCCCGAGTGCAAACTCCAGTCCCACATACATACAAAAAAAACCCTGCAAAAGGGGATTTCATATCTGATTTTGAAGCAAAAGATCCCAGTTGTCCTAACAGTTAACTAACAAGGTATTTGCACTGAATACTATGAGATTTTTGGAAACAAGGCTAGCATATGTTTAAACTTTCATTTCAAATGAAATAAATCCAAAAATACTTTGCAAAGTATAAATCACAATAGAAAGGAAAAGCCTGATGTTAGCTATAAACAATTAATTGACAGTTGCCTGATTACGTTTTTCTTCTCATGAATATATCCAAATGTTAGACGGCCTTGGCATGGGACTCGACTTACCCAGGAATCCCTTTACTAGTCGGCACCATGTCTTTGCAATCAAATTTGGCATCTGGCACATCTACACAGGAAGAGCTGGGAAATAGTCTTTGTTGACAGTTACTGTGCAGTGATCAGTTGATCATTATGAAACCTTTAGCATAATACTAAGAAAATCAGCATTGAGGTAAGCTGAATTGCCCATCTGTTTGATTTTTTTTTCTTCAAATGTGGATATTGTATTAGCTCTTTTAAAATTGTGCTTGGTTAGGTTTCTCTAAGGGGGAGAACAAATGAGAACAAATGAGGCTGAACAAGAAATGCAAAAGCAGAGCTAGGCATGGGGGTGCACACCTGGTACCTCACCTCTTGGGAAGCTGAGGCAGGACGATTGTGAGTTCAAAGCTGGCCTGTGCTACATAGCAATTCCCAGGTCAGTCTGGGATAATGGAGAGACCCTGGCTCGAAAGACCAAGAGATAGGCTGGTGGAGTGACTCAAGAGGTAGAGAGCCTGCCTAGCAAGAGTGAAGCCCTGAATTCAAACTCCAGTACTAAAAAAAAGAAAATGAGGGGACAAAAAAATGCAAAA